AACTCCTCAAATGCACATGGGGATCTCCCACCCCGTCATAGATTTGGTCGGTCGGTGGCTTGGCACCCCCTTGGATGTCTGCGTACATGAGTTCCCTAGTAAAAGGGGAAGTAATTCCCAGCTGAACTGGGGCAGGTTGTACAGGTGCCCTGTTCATTTGGTCCCGCATCTCATTCATCTGCCTCCTCATCACGGCCATTTCTTCCTCCTGGGCCGTCAAAGGGGGCGGTGGTGGAGCCCTCATGTCCGTATAGTCCCGGTCCCAATGCCGTTGAGGGGCCCTGGTATTCTCCCGCTCGGCATTCTGGAAATGATGACCAATGGGAGTTGGTCCTCTAGCTTGTGACCCGATCGGGGTTCGGTCACTGGGACTATGGTGCGCTGTTGGTGGGGCGCTACGTCGATTATCCCGGTGGGCATGCGAACGGGATGATGTTGTAGTTGTTTCCGTGCGTGGAGTCTCCCCTGTAAAGTTGGACCCTCCTTCCTCCTCGTTCGCCATATGCTGCATGACCTGAGCCATGTCTCGCATGGCCTGAGGATTTCTTCTCAGAGATTCGGAATCACAAAATCCCCATCAAAACGAGGATACGATCCTCGGCTGGATTGTCCCTGAGGGTTTTGACTCCCCGGGGTGTGACTCCTCCCGTGACGGCGTGAAATGTCGTTTGTATGATAGGAGCTGATTCTGACCATTTTTGAAAATAGTGGTTTTTGGATGATTTGAATGTGAAACTTTTTGTAAGTTTCCCACAGACGGCGCCAATGTTGAGAGTAAATCCCGTAGATCCGAAAGCCCAACACGAACTTTGGATATATCAGGAATGACACAGAATCAAAGTGTATAAATAAAATATAAAATATGAAACTCACTAATACTCGAAAGCTCACTTGTATTAACTAACCAGTCTGATTACAAGGAATTTCCCGATCGGTAGGTCGGAAGCAATGCTTTAATACAAGAAATAAGAGCAATGATGCTATTCTAGAGCCTGAGTATTGAAATGCTAACCCTTACAATGACTTAAAACCTTCTATTTATACTAATGGAGAGCATGGGCTGCCCCATGCTGATTAGCCGTTATTCCACCGACTTGGTCACCCATGTTTCCACTTGCTGATGTCACAATCTGGCACTAATTGCACCTGGCCACTTGCCGGTTGGCCGTTGCTCGAACGGAATGTTGGGCTATGCTGAAGATGCTGTCAAATTGGCCCAAGTATAATATATAGTCTGAACGCCGTTCGGTATGTCTTCTTACTGGGCCAACCCTTATTTGGGCCGAACCTCGTTCGGCATTAATTCTACCATGATTATCTTATCATAGAGTGATGGGCCCGTTGCTTAGGCCGGATATCTTGGGCTTTCTTGATCCGGGTATTGGGCCTCTAGGTCAATATCCCAACATTACTTATATTTCTTATCTACTTAATCTCTACTTATTATCTACTTATATCTACTAAACACATACATATTACAATTTATATCTACTTAGTTCGAATTGTTAGTACATTTTAGTATGAATTAGTACATTTTATATAATACTTTGATTGTTAGTACATAAAATAACTAGTACAAAAAACTAGTTAATTGTTAGTTTTAAGTATTTATTAAAAAATACTATTGATTAGTTCAAATAACTAGTACAAAAAACTAGTTAATTCATTACTCAATTAAACTTAGAATTTTAGAATTTTATTTCATTAGTTCGAATTGTTTTTATAAATTAATATTTGTTACATTTTTAAGATGGAAGGTGGTAAATATTCGATTGATATGCATAACCTCGACCGCAACTGAACGAAGGAGCTTGTGAGGAAGAGATCCCGCAAAGGTAAATCACATAACGGCTCTTCATCTCAAAGCCGAGATGATTTTGATACAGGTTACGCAAGGAGGGATGGGAATGTGATGACCGACGAACAACTAGAACAAGAATTGCACCGACATAATAGTCGGTTTTTCAAAGACCAGGCGAGGACCATTGACGAAGAAGAGCTCGAGGACGACGATGTGGAGGAAGTAATTCCGGAGAGCCACGACGCCGACGCGAACAAGTTCCTATTTCATTTCAAATAAATGCACTTGAAATTTTTTTTAATACTTGTATAAAACTATAAAGTATAAATAAGTAAAAAACAAAAATTGGATTTACCCGGCCCGGCGGGTGGCCCGACCCGTGACCCGAGCGGGTGGCCTGGCCCGAACCGGAACCGTCCTTACCTCAGGCCAGTCCCGGGCCCATCACTTACAAACCGGAGGCCCAACCGGGCCTAGGCCCGGCCTGAGTCCATGACTACTTCGATGTAAAAAATAATTTTGTTCGTAGTATTAAAATATGCACACTTGAGCTTATAAACTTCAAATAAATTGCAGTTTCCCATCAAAATATGTAATAGTGTATACAATAATATGTTATTTACTACGTAGTACGATAGTATGTTACTATGTAATTATTTTTTAATTTTAATAGTTTGTATTTGTTGAATATGATGATGAATAAATTGAAACACAACTTGTTGAATTTAAATACTAGCAATAAAATACCAGAAAGACACATAATATTGATTACGATAATGTAAAAAGAGAAACATTTTAGTCATGAGATATTAATTTTAGCCCTTGAAATTATTTAAGAAAAACTTTGAATCTAAAAACCTCCAACATTTAAAAGTTAAATTTTAATTTTATACATTCAATATTGATGTCATATGAAAGATAATTAAAAATTGTGAATTTTGATATATTTTTTGTAAACATTAGAATACAAATAGAAAAATTAAACAGAGTACTCCGTAACATTTTAAATATAATTGGGGTATTTTATTTTAAATGAGCCCACTTATTTTTGCACATGCCGCACGCCGTCAACACTTTTCCCAGCCGCATCTTCCTTCTTTCCAGAGTCAATATCCCATCTAATTCCCACCCCAAAAGTGCCCAATACACTTTGGCACCCCACAATGGCACAATACTTTGGGCTGGAGCATTTTAACTATACTTTTAACTCTTCCATATGACGAAACTTTGAGAAGTTGATCAATTTTAAGACTCACAGGCATATTGGTACTAACTATTGATGGACTCGGGCCGGGTGGCCCGGCCCGACCCGGTGGCCCGGTCAGTGACCGGTCCGGGTAGGCCCAGCCCGTGGGTTTTCCGGTCCGGGCTCGGGTCACCCAAAACAAGGCCCAACCCGGCCGGGCCCGGTTCGGGCCAAATTTTTTTTTTTTTTTTTTTTCAATTTTTTTTAACTTTTCGGGTTGGGCTGGGTATTTTGGGCCATTTGGAGTGGTTTGGGGGGTAGGGGGTGGGAGGGGGGTTAATTAGGAAGAGGAAAACCCAAAAAAAAAATATAATGGGCCCGGCCTGACCCGACCCGGCCCGGACCCGGACCGGACCCGGTGGTTACCCGGGCCGGTCCCGGGTCCACCATTTCTGACCCGCCGGCCCGCCCGGGCCTAGGCCCGACCCGGACCCGGCCCGGACCCGGCCCGGACCCGAGTCCAACCCTAGTACTAACAGTTCTTGTTGGGCTAGTATACGGGCTACCAAGCTAATGTTAAGGATTTTAGATATAAGTAAGTAACTGTACAAAAAATTAAGAGAAGGGATTGCAGGATTGAAAAGTCTACATTAAAGTATTAAACTAAGCTTGTACAATCAAACCTAACTAAAATACAAAACTAATACTCAAACTATAATAAAATTACAATTCTAATCTTACGAGGATGCAAGGCAACCGAGGTTGTTGAAAAAGTAACTAAACTAGGTTTACACGTTCCATATCATAGTTATTACTAGTACTCTCTCAGTCCCAAATTGTAAGATACATTTACTATTCACTTGATCAACATAAATCACTCTTAATTTTTTACTTTATATATCAAAAGTTTATGAAATTTGAATTATTTTTTGCAAGTTTTGTAGCAGTTTTAATGTAGTTTCTGAATATGTAAATTTTATTTTCCAAAACTAATTTGAGTGTTGACAGGGATCAATTTACTTTATCGTCGATCAAACATCGTAAACCGTAAAGTATCTTACAAATTGTGACGAAGTAGTATTTATAAAATTTACTCCATAGTATGCTAAATAATTGTATTGAGTGCTCAAAGAGTGCATTATACAATCTATACCAAAGTTTTGGCCGATCATAATGCAAATCATTGGCTAATATAATAAATACTACTTAAAATAATATCTACAGAGTATATATTATTTTGTATATTTGTATACCAATTTTTTGGAATGTTAGGAGACAATTAAAGACGATTCAATTCAATATAGTGGGAAGGTTCTAGGATGGTTCTCACTTCAAAACCGATACCGTACCATATTATTAAAAAAAATCGGTATGGTACGTTATTATTTTTTCCCGGTTCGTTCGGTTCTGATACAATTCGGGATGGTTCTCGATACGGAACGGGTAATCCTAGATCTGTGCTCAACCCTAGCCATCACTAAGGAGCTTTTCTATATTCTATTGCAAACCCCTTTACTTGTAAATTGTAATAATAAGGGAAAATTCCCGAAATAAGAGCAAAAAAGTTTAAAAAATCCAAAATATGACTGACAATTTTTTATTCCGAAAATAGAAGTAATTACTGCCAAGTTTGGAAAATACTGTCATGTTTAAAGTCTGGTACTACCAAAACATGACAACAATTAATCCTATTTTGGAAGTAAAAACATGATAATCCTATTTTGGAATATAGGAACGTTTTTAGTCCTATTTTGGATAATATCTCTAAGAAGCGCATTTCAAGAAAGGCATTAGGACTAAACCTTCCATCAAGTATCCTCATCCGGGACTCCAAAGGTTCCTACATTGCCCATATGAGTATATGATTATATGAAGAAGATTATTCATACGGGGAGATCACACTCAACCTCTACAATTCTCTTAATGAATTTTTTTCAATCTCTCAATGATTAATAAATTTTCATAGGTTGTTATTGAAACTGAAAACCTACATATCCAACAAGCTAACTAGGACACACACATCATTGAAGTATTGGAACAAAACCAACAAATGAGATGTCAAATTCATCAATACAGTTGGCGCATCAGCATCAACAAGATACAGTATAAGAGACTACAAAAACATCTCCAATAGATACAACCCCACTCACCGGGCATGGGTATCCTTAAATTTGACACCAAGTATTAACTACAGGTGTATTGCCTTTAGTCGATAGGTTTCGGCTTTAGTCCCCCTACTATGTAATCTTTCTTTCTTTAGGGTTGGATTCTTCTGAGTTAAAAAACACAACTGAGAAGCATTGCAATATTGGATAACTAAACCTCATCAAAACCTAGAAAGGCAAAAAGGTAGACCACATACTAAATATGGCCAAAACATGAGTGTTGCAAAGGCTAAACTCCCTACCCACAACAAAAAGAAAAAAACTGTTTGGTACAACAACATTCAAGCCTTATTCTCAAAATATTTTGAAGTCGGCTAACATGAATCGAACTATGATATCAGAGCCAAAAGAAGAAGAAAGATAAGAAGAAATAAAAGATAAGATGAAATGGATAAGATAAAAATAAATATAAGAAAAAAATAAATATAAGATAAAAATAAAGATATAAAAAAGATAAAAAAAATAAAAGAACATGAGAAAGATAAAAGATAAAAATAACATAAGAACATAGAAAATAAAGAAGATAAAAGATAAAAGAAAAAGAGAGAAAAGAGATCAATGGTTCACACGAATACATGTCCTCCACTTTGCTCCGTTGGATGTTAGAGTTTAAATCGCTACTAGGACAGGTTTCGTTTACACATGAACTGCACTATCTTATCAACGTCTTCTGGGGCATCAACCCCATGTGCCTCATGATCAACTCTAATCACCTGTGTATAAGACATGAGTGTAGCCATATCATCAATGCCATTACAGACTACACTTCAAGGACATCCTATAAGGAAGGACCTCAAGGGCCTTTGTTTGTCCAATTGAAGAGAATGAATAAGAGACTATTTTGTCTTAACCATTTTCATTGCACTAGCACAATCAGATGCTAACAAAAATTTGCATTGCATGTGTTACTTGTTTTTTTAGCTAAAATGACAACAATCAGTTGAGCTCATTGCACTTGCGTTGTTTTGAGATATCCTTTTCTTTAATTTACTTAATATATATACATATATCTACTTATATATAAAGTGCGTAAGGAAGTTAGTTTGGGCATTTTTACGTTACTACAGCTCCAAACGGTTAACTCCGTTTACTGCTCTCCCGTATAGAATGAGTGGCGGATGGTTTTCCCATTTCTATTTCTCATTTCCCTCTCCGCCATAGCTCTCAGCGATGTGAGGGTCTCCTCACCATCAGTACCATGTCTGCTATCTCTATCACAGGTAACCGCGATCTGCTTTCTCGATTCTCACACACGCAACCAGACTCCATGGCTCTCACTATGGTCTTCTTTGTCTACATCCGACTTGCTCCCATCCCCACTCTCCATAAACTCAAAATTAAGCTAGGGTTTGGGGAGAAGTCTTTTGCCGGATCTGCCACACGTCCGTGAGAATCAAGCTTCTCCGGTGTCAACGTCCACGAGATTCAAGCTTCTCCAGCAATACGGTAACATCGTTTCACCCCTTTACCCCCTCTCCATTCTCTGACTTCTTCCACAGATTCCGCCTTTCTTAACACAAGAGTAGTACCAATTCAATTTTACTTCTAATTGTTGTCCCAGATTCATTTCCAGTTTTGGTTCAATTAGTCAAAGCTTCCCAAGTGCATCCATGTGCATCCATGCCTTCTAAATTAATCCAGGCTCGCTTTCTATTTTTGACGACTCTTTACTTTAATCTCCCAACCATATAACCTGATTCTATGGTATAAGTATTCTTTTTTTAGAAAGTGAGCAGAGACACACCTCCATATCTCAGGTGAGCTACTGGTTTGGTGTTCAAGTAGTTACTTGGTTTACACACAGTATATGTACATATATGTTCTAAACTTTGTCACAAATTTGTCTATTATAAATGCTCTTATTAATATTTTATATTAATATTTCTTTTTGTTTATTAAGGAGTAGAGAAAGTAATAACAAATTGATCCCTCTTATCCATTCGATTGTTACTATTTATTCAAAGGTTACATTGTTTACTACAGTATTTCAATTTATGTTTTAAATAATATATATTCGTGGATTTGGTGCCTGTTAAATCACTTAAATGGTGTAGCCACTTTTTTTCCTGGTTGTTGAAAACAACATTCACCGAGTAAACATATTTTATGCAGTGAAGGTATTTCCTAAGGATGACCCTTCCAAACCATGCAGATTGACTACATTTTTTGGGTTACAAGGCTGGCATGACTCACATTGTGAGAGAAGTTGAGAAACCAAGATCAAGTATGTATCATATTACTTTTTTCTCGGTCTGTTTTTTTGCACATTATGTCGTATGCATCTTAATGGATAATTTCTGATTTTTTCTATACTTTGCTTTTATAAATTCAATGATTCATTGTTCTTACACTTTATGGATTTTTCTAGAATAACACAAGAAAGAAACCTGTGAGCCCGTTATAAGAGTCGAAACTCCTCCTATGATCATAATGGGAGTAGTGGGCTATACAAAAACACCTCGTGGTCTTCGTTGTCTAAACACTGTTTGGGCTCAACATCTGAGTGAGGAGCTAAGAAGGAGGTTCTACAAGAACTGGTGCAAGTCCAAGAAAAATGTGTTCAATAACCACTCACGTAAATATTAAACAGAGGAAAAGAAAGATATCCAGTCGCAGTTGTGAGAGCTGAGGTGCCAAGGCGACGACATGGTGACACCATGGCGACTACGTAAGAACTGTGTTTTAAATATATGTGGATGTAGACTTGGTCCTCTAACCCCCAATCGATTCTAAGGAACTTATTTTATCTATCCGTTCCTTGCTTGTATCCTCTTTCTCTTTTCATTTCATCATTTCATTTTCATTTACCCCAGTGCCGCAAAGGCTCCCACCTACGGTGGGGTAAGGGGGGGTCGGATGTACGCAGTCTTACCTCTGTACTAAAGCACAGAGAGACTGTTTCCGGATGACCCATAGTGAAAATCGCGTCCAAAATTGCATGGACTGACTACTGCTCCATAACAAAGAAGCGCAGACAGTTTAGTGAGCCATTTTGCTTTATTCCATCATAATCTCAGGCCAAAAAATAATGAATCTTTGGCTCCATTGCAAATGATGGAAATATCCTCTTTCTCTTTCCCTTAAAATTTTTTGAATGTGTTTATATTTTATAGAAGCCGTGAATTTCTTTGGCAAGAAGGCCACACTGCTTTTGCAACCAAAGAGGAGGCAGATGCTGAGGTAATGTATTGGTTTTATGAATGTGTTCTAATACTTGATTGTTTTATATTGACCGGTTATTTGTTTTGATACATGTGGGTAACTTTTTGTTGTATAACAGATTGGTGTAATGGTCATGGTTCACGGGGATGACAAGGGACTGGTTTTTCCGCCAAAAGTTCCATCACTCCAAATAATTGTTATTCCAGTGCCTTGCAAGGATGCTGACACACAAGTGATCTTTGATGCATGTTCTTCCACTGCACAAAAGTTGCAGGAATGTGGTATACGCGTGGCCATAGTTGGTTGTTTTTCTCTCTTTCAAATTTGGGAGGGAGGAGGGTTCATTATTGTTTTATTGGTGATGGCAGTGGAAAAAACAAATGGCGGTTTTGAGGGAAACGCCACCTGGGTATGACCCTGTGATGGATACTCCAAAAGCCAAGTCGAAAGCAGCTAAGAGGAATGAAAGGAAGAAGGAAAAGCGCCTGCAGGTCAAATCCTTAACTTAATGTTCATTACTTGTTGTACATGACAATTCTCTTACCTTTGTTTTGTTCTTTTTATCATTATTACCATAGATATATGCATGTTTGATGCTTAGACTCTCAATTACAATATCAGGAATTATGGATTCTAAATTGATATAAGATATCCGTCAATCCTTCGTAAAGCCTTACAATTTGCAGAGATTCCGGTTAACCTCAAATTTGAAACTTCATCGGCCAAAGTGATGGGTAACATTACAACATATATACAATAACAAATGAAAAGTGTTCTGCATAGTTAAGTTGTACAGCCCTCAGACACAATTCAATTTCGGTAAGGTAAATAATTTTTTGTAAGTTACCAGTCCCACATTTGCACATTTACTTTTATTTCACTAAATGTAACATATTTTACCTATTTGAAACACTTCTAGAAAATTTACATTAGTTTCAATGAAAATTAGCTTCTTTTATTGAAACGAGCACTCCACTTGGGACAATAATAAGCCTGGAAAATGACACTCTGTTTTTCGACAGAGGGAGTAGTATATTACTCATCATCATCATTTACCCCAGTGCCGCAAAGGCTCCCACCTATGGTGGGGTAGGGGGGTCGGATGCACGCAGTCTTACCCCTGCACTAAAGCAGGGAGAGACTGTTTCTGGATGACCCATAGTGAAAATCGCGTCCAAAATTACATGAACTGACTGCTGCTTCATAACAAAGAAGCGCAGACAGTTTAGTGAGCCACTTTGCTTTATTCCATCATATTACTATGGATATTATTATATTTGAAGTAATGACTACTGAGTCAATTATTCTTCACGAAGAAAAAGTAAAGTACTCCGTAGTAAACAAATTATTGGCCTCCATTAGTTTAATATAATATTTCACATAGGCTCTCACGGCTAGCATTGTCAAATGTTGCATAATATCTCTAAGCAGTCCACTTCGCTCACATGGGCGGAACTGTTCTTGCTATGTGTCGTTTAATGCCTATATTTTGTGCAAACTTAACCTCTCCACTGTATTCCTTTTTAGTAGCTCTCCACGGGTTGTGAATTGATGTTCAAATAGAAATGTTCTTGCTGTGTGTCGTTTAATGCCTCTAAGTTGTGCATTTCCCAAAAAGAAATTTTACTCATCTATATTCGTTTTATATATTACAATGATTAAATTGGACCTCTGTGTATTCTTTTTCAGTAGTTAAGTTCTGGTTAAGGTTCCAATTCCTCGACCAAAACTGAGGCTGGACAGAAACCATGTTCACCACTTCACCCTTAATGCAGACAATGTAATAAATAAATGCTTTAACGTCATAACATGACATGCGGCAGGCTGCTCTTGAGAAGGAAGATGATATTGAAGATAATGATGGTGTTTCATCTGCCTCTGTATCTACTTATATATAAAATGCCTAATGAAGTTAAGTTGGGCATTTTTCCGATGCTATATGTGATGATATTCAGGCCCCCCTTGATATTGAGAATACTGAAAATGCTGCAAATTCTGCACATGATCCTATCTGTGATGCTATTCAGGTCACCACTTTGCTTGATACTGGTACTTTTGGTGTTAAGGCCCCTATTTCTGTCCCTTGTGATGGTTTACCAGATGCCAATCAGGTCACCGGTGTGCTTCAGAACATTGAAACTTGTTATTTTGGTACTCATGTCCCTATTTCTGACCCTTATGATGGTTTGCCAGATGTTTGTACCAACGCACCAGCAGTCCCACCTTTTGCCTACGATGATAAACTGAGGCCTCATGCCCCCTTGTTTGAGAAATCTCCAGGCTGTGTTAATGAGGGCATTGTCCACTCTAAAGCAGATTATGATGATCCAAATGATGCCCGGAATTCCCCTGTTGAAATGACTAACTCTGATTTAACTGTTTTTCCAGATCTAATATCAGATGCAACACTGCCAGTAATGGGATACTTATCCCTGTTGATGGCTCGATCTCTGTCCCACTTACTGATTTCACATTTCAACCCCCGGCGGCCACCTGTAACAAGACGGTAACCTAGGGAATTGTTCTATTATGTGAGGCCCAAACGTGAAATGATGAGCTTCTCTCTGACCCATTGAACTCGGATACTACACGTGCCCCAAAATTGTCCAGTGATGAAATCCATTCTGAGGACACTCGAATTTTAACTTTTTCTGTTTCAGCTTCTACACTCGAAATTCTGAGGTATTGTTTCATTAGCTTCTTTATTTCTTATTTCAGTAAATGATGTTTTTTTCCATATTTTCTGATTCATTTGTTTGTGGTCAGTTTAGGTGTAAAACATGTTCTTCTCGCCTGGCTTATTATAATATTTACCAACTCAGGTGGTTTTGCATGAGCTCTTGAATGTGATTGTTCTAATGTAACTTCTTATGGTAGGCTATGTTCTTATGCTATTTGACCGTTTTCAACTGATGATATAATTGTGGTCTCAGTTTTGGATATATGGTTATAATATATTAACTACACATTTTGGTTGATGAGTTGACCTTATTCTTTAAATTTATTTGAATTGTTTTTCATAGTTTAATTAATGTAATATGTATATTGTGTCTATTTTTATTTATTCTAGGCTTGAGGTGATCTATGCATCTCTACATCTCTACAAACTAACAAGACTGAATGACAAACTAACAAGAGTAAATGAGGGTAAGATTATTTTAGGTGTAAAAAAATTGTTGGTGAACATCACACCTTTGTACGCATGCTCGATGCCATTCAACAAAATCTTGAGAAATTACCCAAAATGGGACTAAAAACGTTTGTATATTCCAAAATAGGATTCTCATGTTTTTATTCCAAAAATATGACTAATTACTGCCATGTTTTGGCAATACCAGACTGTACACATGGCAGTATTTTCCAAACATGGCAGTATTTTCCAAACATGGCAGTAATTACTCCTATTTTGGGAATAAAAACATGGTAGTCCTATTTTGGAATATTCATACTTTTTTACTCCTATTTCGGGAATTTTCTCAAATCTCTTTGATGTTGCAAAACAAAAGAGAAATGCATGTGTCCAGGTTGCGAACACGTGGGATGAATTTGTGAAAGCTCTGAATGACAAGAAGTTAGTATTGGCTCCTTGGTGTGATGAAAAGGTATTATAACCTGCTTTTCATGTTTTTTGCATTACTTTTGTTGCATCTGAAATTCGGAATTGTGATAGTTTTATCCCTGGGTGGGCGACTGGGAGTAGTTTGGGGTTGATAGATGCTCATTTACTGTTTGGTAAGTAAAATGTAAATACTTGCTAGGTTTACACTGATAGTTGTTAACTGTGGATAAAACACTGAAGTCTCTTTTAGCATAAAATGAAATAATTGATTACAACATGATGATGTGAGTGCCAATTTGCTGGTATAATTTTCTTAAGTTTTAGCATAAAATGGTAGAATGACAAGAGGCTAAGTTGCCACCTTTTTACCCTCTAAAAGTCTCAGTTTGGAATATAGCTTCATCAACATCTTCATCAAGTATGCAAGGCAGATGGGATGGAAATCGAATTTAAAAAATATTATACGATACTACGATAGTAAATGCATTTAGTACAAAAGAGGCAACATTGAATAATTCCACTGGTTATCCTTCCTCTAAACCTTCTTGTGAATGAATAGTGAGAAGCCATCATTAGAGCATTCTACTTTATGGAAAATGTATTGAGAATATGAGATGATAGTGAGTTGAGATAGTTGTTGTAGTCACTCTCTATTACTAGATCAATATTATAAAGTTGCACGTACATCATGGAATATGGCTAAAAATGTAATACGCCATACTGAGAATATTTCATTAGAAAGTTTAGTGTATTAAAACAAATAACCCGTGTGCTGTAATTTGACTGGGGAATGAGGAATCTCATCACAAAAAACTGAGAAACGTTTTTGAAGTTGTTTCATTTTGTTATCTCCCCCCCCCCCCCCCCCCCCTCCCATCATCTTAAGTGTTAACATTTTAAATCTTTCTCTATCATTCTTAAGTTGAATCAGTTTCCCTGCTGTATCTTTGTTTTTCCATACTTGTGAATTAGAAAACTACCAACAAGAGCTTGAAGAAATGAAGAGCATGATTGTCAAGTAATATGTTGCACATCTGAGAAGGTAACCATTTTTTTCACTAATTTCGTTCCCATTGCTCCAAAAGTAATAGTGAACTCTCTCGTGGTGCTTTGATATATCGAGGCGTGACAGGTTCATAAGCTTTCTCTAAAATAGATGAAAGTGCCACTTCCCCACTCCTACTCTTCATAAATTTACTTGAAAAAATTAATACTCCGTAACTAACAGTTTTATTCTCATTTTATAGACATCACCAACATGGATGTTACCAAGCTCAAATATGTAGAGCTGTAAGGAATAAGGACCTTTATTTGGGGACATCCAGTGAGTGTTTGCTTTTTTTGACAAGTGATTAGTGTATTTATTGAAACACTCATTTCAACTTGTATTTTCTTTTAAATTCTACTGATATTAGCTTTGCTTTCGCTTCATTTTTTCTTTAATTCTCAAAAAATGAAGGAGCATCAAATGGTTCTGTATAACTTTATTTCCTTTTTCGACCTCAAGCTCACTTTAATCCTTTATCCAAACAAAGCTTATCACATGATAATTGAATGAATTATAGATATTTCAGCGGTTCGGCCGGCCTACTATTAGCCTAAATGGTATAACAAACATAGCCTTAAACACTCAATATCTTGGTGAGAGATATGGTTTAGTAATTTTTTTTATAATAACATAACGGTTGATGAAAGCTTAATCTTGAAAAGTGAATGCTTTGCACTATTATGGAGAGGGAAAAATGACAGGTCCATTGGTGTTTCCTTTTAACCACACAAATTTTAACTCTTTTTTATTTAACTTTGTTGATTGCAGTTCAATGTTATTGTTTCATAAATGTAGAATCAATCAAGTTGGGGAAAAGACTGTAAATAAAGATATGGAAGCACATATGCTATATAAAGATATGGAAGCCATAACATTCATTGTTTGAAAAAATGAATATTACTTATTGTTCATCATATTACTAGAGAAATCAGTTTTATTGTTCATCATTTGATTTCTTTTTTGATTTTGGAAATAGTTTCAATGAATTGCTGGAGCTGAATCAGTGTGGCCATAATAGAACCATAGATATGATTGTTAGTGATATCTATGGGAGAATGGATTACTCAAAGGTATGAAAGGGTGGCCTACAATGCTGAATGAGGATATACTCTTTTAAAAAAACTAGCTTTCTTTTGCCCAAAGTTATGTTTGCAAATTTATGAGTTTTTTTTCCGCAGCCTATATTATGTGTTTGATCATGTTAAATTCTTAATTTTCTTATAGATTTGGTTTCTCAGCATCAACAGTGCTTCAAGCTTTGGCAAAGCCATTTCAGAAAACAAGGAGCTTGAAGATTATAGGCCTGAAGATATATATATATATATATATATATATATATATATATATATATATATATTTGCCTCTCTTGTGTATGATTTCATATAATATTGGTCAAGTGCTTCTCAATCAAAACACCAATCATTTTTTGACTCTATATCGATCAGTCTCTTGTTCTGCTTACTTTTTTTTCTGTTTCGTAGGTACTATATTATGATCAGCCTTTTTGGGTAATTCTGAATTCATAGCCACGGGCCCATGAGGAAAATGAACAGATTAGAGAAGAGACAGACCTCGAGCTGAGGGCAGCCTGTTAAGCCTGGAGCTAATTGAACAGGTCAGGATTACATTTCGTATCTATTCGAGTTAATTTGATATGAATAAATTGAATAAAGAATAGTGTCTGCTCTTTCAAATGCTTTTTTTTCCTAAAAAAATACACAAACTTGTGATTGACGTTTAACTCCAAATGGGGTCAGTCGTGCAACAAAATAATTATGTTTTAATATTAATTTTTGTGTTAGTTTAAACATGAGTTTAAGTTCACTCTTCCTTGATGATATTTTAAACCTAGGGAAAACCTGATGATTCTGTGTTTTCCCCTGAGTTATTCCCTTATTCGGTTGTATTCGAAGAATTAAGCTTCTTCCAAATATGTATAATTATAATTGCTATTTTTGTTTCTTCTTATTTCCTACTTTAGCTTGCTATGTTGATAATGTTGATTAATTTTACATTCTTCACATTTGCCATATTTTTTTGCGTTGGGCATCAAACCTCGCGCAACGCGCATGCCAAAGCTAGTATATATGTATGTGTGTGTGTGTGTGTGTGTATACTTTAAAGTTTTTTCTATAATTCAGCAGATTAAACCAATTCGGCCCAGCTTCTAAAGCCACTTCAGCCATTTTAAGTCTTACCAAACATGCACTAAATTAGTTAAACATGCATTTAACAAGATGTATAAAACAATAGACCAATACCTTCATTTTGTATCCATTCTCAAGGACCTTTAATTGTTCAAGGTCTTCTTCTAGTTGCAGCGGAGTTGGTTGCAGTTCTGGATATATTCTGAGGAACTTTGTATCATAGCTCTGAGATCAATATTGTGTGTGGAAAGGAGTTATTTACTTAACAGTCTAATACAAAAGCATAATTGATGGTGCAGGAAAATAATTACAACAGTCCAGTTTGGTCACCTGAATCCCAAGGTGGAGCAAATAAGGAAATTGGGGATTAACCTTGCCGGACCTGAACATAGTTGGAAATAGCAAATTACTTATCATCAGAAATTCGACTCACAGCCTGTATCTTGTAAAACAAGAAAATATACTGACTTGTTGAAAGGGATAAGTCCCCTAGAAAAGTAGATTGCATAACCACGACCATCAACTACACATTTCACACGGTTTGAATCAAATGCATCCTCCGGTTTCAAAGATGTCGCAGCTGTGCTAAAAACTGCATCTGGTGCAGCCTGCATCCATACAAAAACTAATGTAATTCAATTTGGGATAAATAATGACAATATAACCTTCAGCTCCACCATGAGATCATTTTTGTTATCGTGCCTGTCCCAAGTTAGGATAAAGGAGGAGGGTGTTGTGGTAGGCGCGTGATGGGCAACAGTATCACTTAGTCACATCACATTACATGAATCGAAATATGAAATATCTTTTTGTTTTTGTTTTTTTTTCTTTTCTTTTTGACTCCGATATCATGGATTGATTCATGTTAGCTGACCCCAAAATCTTTTGGGATTAAGGCATGGATGTTGTTGTTGTAATAGTAATGATAATATAACCTTCCTCCGACCATATGGTATACCGAGTATATAACATGTTCCAAAAAAGGTAGTAGGGTAGGCAGATCCAAAACCCATTCCCTATGTTTTAAAAACTCAACCGGTAGCCGACCCGTCCACAAGTCAACAGCCCGGTCAAACCCGGATAAACTCATTCAACAAACAACAACAACATCCAAGCATTAGTCCCAACAGATTTTGGATCGGCTAACATTCGATACATGATACCGGAGCCAAAAGGGAAAAAGAGTGAGAGAGAGAAAAAAGATAAAGTATGATAAAAAATGATTAAATAATAATAATATCAAATAGAGATAAGAAATACATAAAATGATAAAAGGAATGTATAGATAAAAAGAGATATAAGGATAAAACGATATATTTCATGATGACGTTTTAAAATGTGCTAGATGTTTGATGGACATAAAGTCGGTTAACATAATAAAAACTTAATGTGTATGTGTGTATTAGTGACATCTACAATGGAGCTAAAGACTCACTATTTTTTGACTTGAGAATATAATAGAATAAAGCAAAATGGCTCACTAAATTGTCTGTGCTTCTTTGTTATGAAGCCGCAGTTAGTTCATGCAATTTTCAACACGATTTTCATCATGGGTCATTAGGAAAAAATCTCTATGTGCTTTAGTACAGGGGTAAGGCGGCATACATCCGACCCACCTTACCCCAACGTAGGTGGCAACCTTTGAAGCACTGGGGTAATGTTGTTGTTGGATCAAATGATATAGTTCATGACAACGTTTCAAAACGTGTTAGATCTTTTATGGACAAAAATATATTTATCTACATTATAGATATGTAGATAGTTAAATGACAAAATATAATAATGATGATGATCATCATAATAACAAATAATAATTAATGAACAATCACTTCTTTATCATGTTATACATGCTATTTAATAATAGTATAAAGTACACTTTAATTGACCTTGTAGGTAGCCTGATTCTCTTCCAGGTGAAGGCTTCTAGACTTTAAATCCTTTCGCACAGTTACGATTTTTAGCGTGTCCATATTTCCCGCAATGGAGCATTGGAAGAAATAATTCCCTTCCACATGCTTATAAATTTACACTGCTCAAACAAAGTGGCGGGGACTATCTGAAAATTAATAACCCACTACTAGATTACTAGTTCTGCACTGCTTTTCTACCGAGCCGATTGGGTTTTCCGGTTATGAGACAATCGAGTTTTTAAGAATTCAGCACGGTGTTATTAAAAAATGCCATTCCCCTTGAAGTATAAAATGCCTTGAAGCCTCAGGTTTATGTTATTTTCATTGTAAACATCTCAAAGTATATTTAAAAACATAGCCCATTCCCCTTCTCTTCAGTCCTCACTCACAGCTAACGTCGTTAATCTCAGTAATGCCTTGCAAAAATCCTACTAAATCTATAATTAACTTTTTCACGTCTCACAAGGCCAGAATAACAAAATGTTAACCTGAATTGTCCCATCAGTAGTTTTACACTTTTACGAAGATAAGAACTAGAATAATCAGCCACGTAGTGATGTAGTGTCTGTAAAACTCCAGCATCTGACCACTTAGGTGATGCTCTAATCACCTTAGTATTTTTTTAGGAATCTAATCACCTTAATATTTTTTGCTGATTAATTTTGAGTAAAATAATAATATAATAATACTACTAACAGCATAACAATGTAATACTATAGGAAACAGGTTAACCAAAACTGGATCGACGTTAATCGCTTTTAATGTAAGGATATTCGATCTCATGATTGTAATTAAAATTCTTCAGTGCAATATGCCAATATCCTCTCTTGGGTTCTTAATGTAGAAATGCATCACTCGTTTTTCATAGACAAAGATGACTAACGATACTAAAAATGTTAAGTACCTCTAGTGGTGTAGAATCATCACAACAAATTATTTTCTATATATTATTCAAGGTGACAGAAATATATTTTCATATGGGTTAAATAAACCAATTAAATATAATCTGACCAAATAATAAATATAATAATTAAAGAGTTATAATGATTAATAATAATAACAATATAAGTCATTACTATTGTAAAAAACAAAAACAAGTCAACACCGACAATAAGATAATAATATTAATATTTAATAACAGTAATCATAACGAGAAGGGAAATATTGTTAACAGCAAAAAAAAAATGAGTAATAAACAATAATAAAAAAACAATATTAATAACAATATATTAGTAACAACTAACAATATATTAATAACAATAACAACAAAATAAATATTATATGTTTTGAGAAATATGCATTAGGTTTGGGTTTGGTCATCATATGATGCACAAAATAAACTTCAAATTTGAAAAAGTTGGATAAAAGGTCAGTTTTTACTGAATACTGATTGTTCCTTCCAATTTGAGAGAAAGAGAAGAACTGAGAAATAAGGCTTATGTTCCGGTCAATCCTTATTTTACTTCCTTCCAGACAAGGTAAAGTATCTTCCCTCCATATACTCCTTCATTATTTTCTTTCTTCCCAAAAAATACTGAAAAGGAAGCTCTGTGATCATGAGAGCCAAACATACAGAAGAGTGAAGAACCTATGAAGGGGTCATGGAGAGAGGGGTAGGAATATATAATTCAAGCATATGCAATAAATAAGCTGAAAACAGCATTGTAGTTTCCAAAAACTATGTATGAGTGAAGAAGTATAATTATATAAACTAAACACCTTTCAGTGTCAGGAAGACAGGATCAACTTTACACTGTTTACATTACCTGAAGGGCTTCAACGACGCCATCAATAATTTCAGGTTCAATAAGTGGTTCATCTCCTTGAATATTAACAACAATGTCATACTTCTTTTGAAGCTTTTGAAGAGCTTCATTACAACGCTCAGTTCCTGGATATTAACTAGCGGTAATCAGTAAATACAGTAACTAGCAAAGTCACATCTCCACCTATTTATAAACCACGAAGAAAAGACAAAGAATGTTGGAATGGCGATTTTACCATTTCTACATGATTCAGATGTCATAATAACTTCAGCACCAAATCCCTTACAACATTCAGCAATCTTATCATCATCCGTTGCCACAACTATCAGTACATGAACAATATGTTAAGGATCCTCCACAAAAATAAGTCCATTCACAGTATGCTAAATGAAGCACATTACCAACATGATCCAATGTCCTAGCCAATTTCGCCCTTTCCCACGTTCTCTGTAAGTAAGATATCATAAAAGGTTAATTGGTGACACTTACAACATGTTTTGGTATAAATGAAGTTCACAAATTTTAGGGAACTGATGTGCAAATTGCAATTTTAGATTTTGCGCTGTTTGGAATCTAAAACAGATTTTTTTGGAATTCATTTTACAATTCAATTTTTTTGTTTGGAATGCAAAATAAATTTACTCTATTCATTCCAATACTATTTCCTTTCTTTTATTTCTTCACCTAATCTTGTAATCCAACTATCATCAGTGAAACCATCCGTTCAGTCGGATTCTTGTTCCCTCCACAGTAGTTGTATACTTGTACGAAATTCAGTTGAACTCAACTGTTAAATTGATATCATTCCAAACAAACATGGGAACTCTACAAGAGGTCACTTGGGAATGAAATCTACAAGCGCTTAAATTTTAACTTCTGTTAAATTAGTTGATAAATACAATTTCGGACAATATCCTTAAATGACAACAATTCATACAAAGACAAGTCAGCAAAAGCAGATAAAAGAAGAATTGAGGGTAACTCAAAGATGAGATTAGTTATAGTACCTGGATCATGGGCTTGCCGAGGATATTTATGAGTGGTTTTCCCGGGAACCGAGTGGAGCCGAAACGAGCTGGTATGATTCCGACAACCCGACTACGAAACTTGTAGGATCTGGAAAGGTATCTGTGAGCGCCGACAGCTACGGCAAAAGCGGCCCCGGTGGCCAGGGCGTGAATCAGCCATGATTTCGTAGATGTCGACGACGACGATGAATTGCACATCGAGATTTCGCTTATGCCCATATTCTGCCTGGGAGGTCAACTCTACAAGACCTTTGTTCCAGGTGGCATCCAGAAAGCAGTTCTGTGGGAGACTTCAAATTATGGGGAAAATTACTCTACGTATACATAGGAGCGGCCCACCATTGTCATCCTACTCCCGCGACTAAATAATGCAGTTTTCATTTAAAAAAAAACGTGCAAGCACGCTAACCAAAGGCAGTCCCAAACATAATTCATTTTACAGTTCTGTGGGAGCCTTCAAATTATGGGGAAAATTACTCTACGTATACATAGGAGCGGCCCACCATTGTCATCCTACTCCCGCGACTAAATAATGCAGTTTTCAGTCTCCCACCTTTTCTCTCTAGGCTTTATTCTCATCTGCACTATTGCACTACTTACTTTTTGTCTTTACGAATTCCAAAACATCGTTCCCCTAGACTTCATTCTTCTCCAATATCACGAAACCATCTCTGTGAACCAGACTTGCGAAGTTCCATATCTCTGCGAACAAAAAACAGAAGCTAAGTAAGGCATTAACATCATTCATAGCAAATTTCTAAAGTTAAGAATCTTATTCAAGATGGCTAGGGTTAACAGGAAATCAGTTACCAAGTATCAACTATATCACAAGATCTACAGCGCCAGATTTTTTTTTTATCCCGAAAGGCAAACCACCAAAATCAGTGGGGTAAATGTCGGAGAACATTTATCGGATTTTATTAATAAAATTGAAGTAATAAAATAGAAGAGAAGGCATACCTTCTCGAAAAACAAATGAAAAAGTCTCAGAAAACAAACTAACGGGGGTTGACCCAGACCCATTGTGAAAGAATCTAAAGTTAGGAAGCTCAAAAAAATCCGCATAGTAAGCCGTCTTTGCTAAGCCCGGGAGATCATTAATGTGTTGGAAAACCTGCAATTGGGCTTCTGATTGGGCTGCCAAGTAATGAGCAACCCAATTACCTTCACGTTGCACCGACCCATAAGTCACGGCTTTCCTAAAAGAAAGCAGCAGCATTTCCTTAACCGCATCGCTCCATCTTCCTCTTCCTTCGTCCAAAATGTAACTCAGAGCGACAGAACAGTCCATTTCAACCTGGAAATCTGTGAAACCCTTCTCTAGAGCATACATCGTAGCAATTATAATGGTGTAGAGCTCAGCTTCAAGGCTCGATGACACCGTTAACGGGAATGACATGGCAAAAACGAAATCTCCTTCGCTGTTCCTCATTATCGCACCTCCAGATGCCTGATGAGGTAAGTACTTAGCATCAGTGTTTAATTTGTATTTCATGGTTGGTTTCCTCCACTTTATCAACTGAAATCTGAAATTAGAAAGCCTGAAATTGGAAGCAACCAGATTTTCCTCCCTTAAGATATCCCCCACCGAGGTTAGCTTCATGTTAGATAAGCTTGCAGACCAAGCTTGAGTGTAGAGTTTTATCTGTTGAATCAAATTCCCCAGAGAAGGAACTGACCCACCCGTTCCCCAAATTATGTTTGCATAAATTTTTCAAACATGCCAACAAACGATGCCAGGCAAATTGTGCTTAAAAACGTCTGTTAACTTCTTGCTGCCTGCTTTAAGCCACCAAGCCATAAAAATTTGACGTATAGTCTGAGTATTTTGTGAGCAAGGTATTTCCAAAATACCCATAAAATATCTCCAAATGGGTCTGACTCTTTCACAAGAGTACAAAAGGTGATCCACATAATCTTCATGCTTTCTGGAAAGAGGGCAAATAGAAGGCTGAAGAACTATCTGAAATCTAAGTATGTTATCTGTGGTTGGGATGATGTTATGGAGAATTTTCCATTGGAAAATCTTAATCTGCATTGTTTGCTTTGGATGCCAGGTATGTGAAAAAGAGAAAGAGCTAGGGAGCTCTTGTCTGGTCATATTGTATGCTGATTTGAGGGAGAAGCTGCCATCATCCTCAGGTAACCAGTTTATCTCTCCATTTGAATTAACCTCACATAGCTGCATTGCTGTAGAATTAATATTGCAAATCCTTTTCCAAATGTAAGAGTCTGTGACCTTAGGGACTAAATTCCCACCTCTTGGATATCTAGCCCTAAAGAAATCAGACCAAAGTGTATTGTCCTTTTGCCATTTCCACGAGAGCTTTATAGAAAAAGCTTTTTCAACATCTGCCAAGGCTCTAATTCCAAGGCCACCCTCCTGAGTAGGTAAACACAATTTAGACCAACTTAGCCAATGGTATGTTTTTCTGTGATTAGAGGACCCCCAAAAGAAATCTGCCATCTTACTTTCCAGCACTCTAATCACTCTTCTAGGTAGTGTGTCAGCAGCAAGTATGTGTAAGGGAATAGAACTTAACACATGTTTGATAAGAATTAACCTCCCTCCTTGAGATAGGTTCTTTTGCTTCCATGGGGATAATTTGCTTTCAACCTGTTGAATAAGTCCCAAACAATACCGGAATCTATTGATTCCTTTATGAAGATTAACCCCCAAATATCTAACTGGTAGGTCAGTGTGTTGCATGCTTAGGATGTCCTTGACAAGAGGTAGCCTAGCACCAATATGTTTACCACAGACAAAAGAACTTTTGTTAAGGTTCACTGACTGTCCAGATGTCTTCTGATAAGATAACAGAAAGTCCTTGAAATTTTTTAAGGATTTAGATTCCCCATTAATAAAAATTAAAAGGTCATCTGCAAAACCGAGATGAGAGGCAGGATATCCATAATTCCCCATCCAAAAAGGTTTGATCCTGCCCTGATGGATGTGCCAGTTCAGTCCTCTAGAAAATGCTTCTCAGGCCAAGATAAATAAATAGGGGGAGAGAGTGTCTCCTTGCTTCACCCCTCTTTTAGGCTTAAAGAAACCAAATTGAGCCCCATTGACCAGGATAGATAGATGAGTAGTCTGAAGGTTATTTGAAATGAGCTGAACAAATCTAGGAGAAAATCTGAAGCTATCCAGAATCTTAGCCAAGAACTGCCAAGAAAGTCTATCAAACGCTTTGGCCATGTCTAATTTGATCAACACATTGGATCCTCTAACTTTTTTGTCTATAGCATGCACCATTTCTTGAGCAATGAGAATATGGTCTGCCATATCCCTTTTAGGAATGAAACCAGCCTGCTCAATAGAAATAATTCTAGGAAGGAGCTTAAGCAATCTAGAAGTCAGAACCTTGGTGCAGACATTGTTAATAAAATTTGATAAACATATAGGTCTGAAATCACCAAAAGAAGAGGGATCAGTGATTTTAGGAATTAAAACAATTAAACTGCTAGCCAAACCTTTAGGAATATGAATGCCCAAAAAGAACTCCTGAACAGCCCTGATTACATCAATTCCAACAATAGCCCAACATTTCTTGAAGAATTTTCCATTAAAACCATCTGGCCCAGGTTCACTATTACGATTTAAGTCCCAAATAGCAGCTTTTACTTCCTTTTTCATCAGGTAATTGAAGTAAAGATTGATTGTCTTCCTCATTTATGATTTTTGGTATGTTTTGCAGGATATTACTACAATCAATCTCAGGGTCTACTGCATACAGATTGGAGTAAAATTTGACAGCCTCTTCCCCAATTTCTGGCAATGTGGTAAGCTGCGCTCCCTCACAGTTAGTGATGTGTGAAATGGTTTGTTTTTGCCTTCTAATATTAACAAAAGAGTGATAGAATCTGGTATTGGAGTCTCCTTCCTTGAGCCAATGTACATGAGCCTTTTGCTTCCAGTATTTTCTCTCCAGACTGTATTTTGAAAGTAGTAATGCTCTCAGTTGAGACCGTTGTTCTTTCTTTTCTGGAGTAGGGTCATTCTCATAATCTTGTTCTGCCTGTAACACTTTCTGCTCACATAACATAATCTCATCAAAAATATTCCAAAAAACAGTCTTGTTCCATGCCTTAAGGTCTTTTTTCAATTTTTGTAATTTGGAAAGAAGACCTCTCATCCCTCCCCCTGTATTAATAGAGTTCCAACTCTTTTCCACCACTTCAAAAAAGGATTTATGTGAGAACCACATATTCTGGAACTTGAATGATTTAGGGCCAGATTGCTGATTTAGAGTACACTGAATCAAGATGGGGCTATGATCAGATGTGGACTTGTCCAGTAAGTTGATTTGAATGTGTTCAAAAAAATCAATAACCTTTTCATTTACTAAGACCCTGTCTAAGCGTCTCCATAATCTGCCATGATCTACAGCGCCAGATAGATGACTAAACAATGTGATTGATTTTTTATTATCAAAATATGTTTATTTTGGTGTTAAATATGTTATTGTTCTGTAAATATCGAAATGCATGTAACTTAGAATGTATGAATAATGTAATCTTAGTTTCATTTTTTTGCATCTGCGGAATCTGACAATATTATAAACGTTCATGTGGCTTTTGTAAAATTTATGTTATCAATTGTTATCAATATGTCATATGTATGTTATCAATAGTAATATATATGGGAAAATATATTACTTGTGAGTAATGTAACTTATGTTAGCAGTTGTGTAACTTGTGTATGTTAGTGTGTAACTCTTGTGCATTAGTATGACTGCAATCAAGTCCAGTGTACAATGATTAAATACTTGTGAGTAATGTAACTTCTGTTAGCAGTTATGTAATTTGTGTATGTTAGTGTGTAACTCTTGTGCATTATTATGACTGAAACCAAGTCCAGTGTACAATGATTTAATACTTATGAGTAATGTAACTTCTGTTAGCAGTTATGTAACTTGTGTATGTTAGTGTGTAACTCTTGTGCATTAGTATGACTGCAATCAAGTCCAGTGTACAATGATTAAATACTTGTGAGTAATGTAACTTCTGTTAGCAGTTATGTAACTTGTGTATGTTAGTGTGTAACTCTTGTGCATTAGTATGACTGAAACCACGTCCAGTGTACAATGATTAAATACTTGTGAGTAATGTAACTTCTGTTAGCAACTATGTAACTTGTGTATGTTAGTGTGTAACTCTTGTGCATTAGTATGACTGCAACGAAGTCCAGTGTACAATGATTAAATACTTGTGAGTAATGTAACTTCTGTTAGCAGTTATGTAACTTGTGTATGTTAGTGTGTAACTCTTGTGCATTAGTATGACTCAAACCAAGTCCAGTGTACAATGATTAAATACTTGTGAGTAATGT